TTTACATAAATATATGTGGGTCAACATAAATGAAATCATAAAGCCTAAATACAAACTTAGTATTCCTGGCCAGCTACATAGACTTCTTACACATCTAATTGTTGCCCTCACCTTGACTGAAAAATGGCTCACAGCTATTACTTTTTCAAAATATCTTGTGCATGTGCAAAATACTTCAGAAAAAAGGTATTTTTTTTGGAGGGAAGGAATGCCATCCAGATGGACTTTGACACACTTGTGAGGTGGGCTGATGCCAATCTCATGAAGTTTAACTATGACAAGTGCAAGGTCCTACACCTGGGTCGGAGCAATCCCAGGCACAGCTACAGGCTGGGCAGAGAAGAGATTCAGATCAGCCCTGTGGAGAAGGACTTGGGGGTGCTGGTCGATGAGAAAATGAACATGAGCCGGCAGTGTGAGCTTGAAGCCCAGAAAGCCAACTGTATCCTGGGCTGCATCAAAAGGAGCGTGACCAGCAGGTCGAAGGAGGTGATCCTGCCCCTTTATTCTGCTCTCGTGAGACCTCACCTGGAGTATTGTGTGCAGTTCTGGTGTCCTCAACATAAAAAGGACATGGGTCTGTTGGAACAAATCCAGAGGAGGGCCACGAGGACAAGGGTTAACGGGTTAAAACTTAAGTTTAGATTGGATATAAGGAGGAAGTTCTTTACTGTGAGGGTGGTGAGACACTGGAATGGTTTGCCCAGGGATGTTGTGAATGCTCCATTGCTGGAGGTGTTCAAGGCCAGGTTGAACAGAGCCTTGGGTGGCATGGTTTAGTGTGAGGTGTCCCTGCCCGTTGCAGGGGAGTTGGAACTAGATGATCTTAAGGTCCTTTCCAACCCTAACTATTCTACGATTCTAAGTGTCATGGGGGTGCTAGAGCTCACTGAAAATCAAGGAAAAGGGAACTTGGACTCCTAAGTCCTGTACATAACTTCTTTTTTGCCACTCAGTTTCAGTCAAAGTCAAATATAGTTTAAATTTCTGTCCTTGAATTCTTTTCTGACAATGGCCTATTTTAAGGGAGATGATATTATCCTTCTTTTTCTCCTTTTTCTTCTCTCTAGAATCAAAGAAGTCTTTCAGTTTGGTAGATTTCCTGCCTATTGACTGAGCACTGCAATATTAGCTTATGGAGTTAAGTTTCTTTCTTGAGCATATTCTGTAACTACTCTCAGGCATGGGAGCACTTTTATATGCTATAATCTACCCTTGGGCTCTACTGAAATGTCAGTCATACACAATCTTACTCTTCTGTCAGCCTAAATTAAGAGATTGCACAGTATCAATAGATTTTTCCAATGGAAAAGTTATTTATCTTGTCCCATAAATCAGCATTTTAAAGCTCTTGAAGAGGTAAGTTTCTGTTTCGCTTTGTTTTGTTTGACCACTAAAGACAGTTGAACAAAGCACTTCTGATTTCAGCCCAGCTCAGCTTTGCCAGACAGAGTAGTGACTTCTCTTCCACCCTTTCCCCTTGGGGGGTGAAGTCATGGAGCTCTGAATTTATAAGCACTCCTGGGTCAGCTTGTGATTGAAAGTAATCCACTAGGAAGTTTTTCTAACTTTTGATGTACTGCTCTTCTCCAGTTCTGACTTTTCACTTTGTAAGTATGTTTTTATCATGAAGCATTATACTCTTTATTTTTTCTAATATTACTTTTTCCCATTAATTCCAGTGGGGTGTGGTCAGTTTGATGGGATAAGAAGGTTACTAGTTTATGACTGCCTTTGCTGAAGCAATTAGGACCTTTGCCATGGATTTTGGTGAGGTCAGAATGTTTTTCTTTTAGCATTTACATACAACTCTTGTGGGAAGTATGGTGTGACATTTAAAAAGTGTCATCTGTTTAGGAATAGTGTGGCTAATCAAGCATACCAGCAGATTTCTATGGGCCTCCCTGAGTGCTTTTTGAAGTCCAGTTATATGTGAATGGTAGGAAAAAAGATGTGTGGTCTTCCCATGGGAGTGGCTTTCAGTGGTGCTTTATACCTTTCAAGTGAAAGGATGGAAGTGAGTATTTCACTTTCTGGCTCTCTCAAAATAGAATCACTGGAAAGAATATATGAGATTGTGCTAGAAGAGTTGCAGTAAGTGTTATGATGTCTGAGAGGTCCTGGTTATGAATAGAGGGCAGTAGGGCCAGGGGAATATAAGGAGATACGTTGCTGATCAGGAACAGAAGGGATTTGAGGTCTAGTTGGAAGCAGACCCTTGGTGAGATGCTGCAAACTGAATACAAGTGAAGGAAGGAGTAGGGACTCGAACATCTGACTCTGACCTACAGACCTCTTACTGCTAGCTAAATGGGAGCAGCACCAATGAAGCACCCTTTACTTCTTTACTGTCACGTTTTGAAGATTAGGTTTCTGTCATTGTTGCCCTACAAATATGATAGGCCTGCCAAAAGTAGGTGATTGTTCTTTGGGGTTCTTCTGCAGGACTGAATTTGTCAACTCTTTCTCTTCTTTAAGCCAATCTTATCTTCCCTGTGCCTCCCAGACTTCTAGGCTTCTTACTGCTTCTCAAATCTCCCGGGCACCCTTGTCTATCTGAAAGCCTCTAGTGGGCACCATTTTCTACATATTTTAAAGATTTATTCATTCACTAATTTAATTTTAAATATGAGATATTCACAGGTATACTAGCAATACACAATAGCAGTTTAAATAGCAGTAGTTTTATGAAGGGTATCCCAAGCAAAGGTGAGGCAGACTTTTGCCTGCTAAGCACGTTTATATGTTAACTTTTGTCAAAAAGTTTCTCATTTAATCCCTCTTCCACCCAAAAAAGTTCAAATGGATTAACTTTAAACTTGTAACTCCCCAACATGTTTTGAAAGCAATAGTTAAAAAGATGTTTATTTCAGAAAATATACTTGCGTCACTTGGATGTGAGGGAGGGTTAAATGATACTAATTTTTCTTTTAATGTTCTGTACTGCACCTCATCATTGAACTACAAGATCTGGAAAAACCTTGATGTCTTTTCAAGCTGTCTTGTGTGGGTGGGCAAGATGCAAACGTTCTTTTCTGAATATTTACACACACTGGATGTTTGATTCAAGCATTGCAAGTAATAAAGTACTTGCATAGTACATCTCGAGTAGATAACAAATCTCAAACATAATAAAATAACTTGAAATTAACTATTGCAGTAAATCTCCAGAGCAAGTCACCGTATCATTTGTGCAGTCAGATTAATCTAGGGAAGTGATGTTGCAGGGTTATTGTTTGGAGAGTGATCATGTCTTCTTTGGAGAATGGTTCAACCCTTGTTCTTGGGAATTTTCCGTAAAGTAAACTGTGGATAAGAAGCCCAGCTTGTATTGCTTGTGTGAACACAAGTTCTTAAAGCCCCTTTGATCGATGCTGGACACAGGAGTCGGTAGCACACAGGTTATGTGTGGTTGTGTCTAAACAGAGCCTGCAGAGCTTATCTTTGGCAGTGCAAGACTTCAAACTGATGTTCACATTCCTTCTAACCAAAGAAAGGAGCACCGGCATAATTTTTTTTTTTTTCATGCAATGTGCCTGATTTGTTGTCCAGTGCTACAAGAAACCTGATCTAAAAAGCCTCATATTGCCCTAATTGCTAACAAAGAATAATTTTCCACCACCACCCAGTTTAAGTGTTATGTTGTGCCTTGGGGTGGTGGTGTTTTGGGTGGTGTGGGGGGGGGTGGTTTGGTTGTGGGTTTGTTTTGGTTTTGTTGGGTTGTGTGGTGGGTAAATGCCCTTCCCAAATTTGTTGGGTGATGTGTGCCTACTTAGGCATGTTGAAGTTCAGGAATAAATACTAAAATCTGTTTTACAAGGATTGCCTAAATTTGAAATGCTGTTAAGGGAAGGGCATATTTACCAATAGCTATTTCAGAAGTCTTTATGGTTTGTATTTTTTTCTTTAGAAAAGAATGAAGAATAAATTAATTAAGTGACCAAAAATATTAGCATATTGTTGCATGACCTGAGTGACAAATATTTCCTTCTGTGACTTCAGATACCTGAAGACAGGATAGTTAACTATAAATTAACTATGTTAGCTGAAGGATTAGATTCTTTTAAAATAATTTTGAAGTGTCTATTACTTTTCCAAGTAAAATGGCTTTTACTTTTTAATCTTGGGAATGTTTTTCCCTGGCATTTTTTTCTTAGGTATGTGTGACTGACTTTCATAAGCCTCCATGTAAGTATTTCAGCTTCTCAGGTGTGCATCTGAATGTTGATATCTAGTTCATTTCCAAGTTGCCATGTTTTAGTATGGCATAGGATGTTTCTGAACAGTCTGCCTTTGAGTCTGTAGTCTATCATGGATGTAGTCTACCTAGCCTCTTAAATTTTCAGAGAAATCCAGTATTTCAAAAGACAATCCTATATTTAATGTCAGCGGATTTTTTGCTAGTGTTTATAGATTTATGTTTTTTAATCACTTAATGTTGGGTTTTGGGTTTTTATGGGTTAACTGCCTTAATAACAGAGGAGTTACATCCAGAAAAAATGAGGCTTTTTGCATGGTAGCACATACCTGGTAGATATGGACATCAGATATAATACATGAAAGCATTAATTCAACTATTTACAGGGTCAACTCATGAAAAAAAAAATCCTGCTTTTGATGACAAATGGTAAACTGAAGACAGTGCATACAATACATGCATACTTCCCCAAACTTTTGCATCATTGGCTCAAAATTAGTTAAACACAAAAATAATGTACAGGGAACATTTTTCCTCCAAAAAGATGTAATTAAATCAAATATTACCTAACTATAGAGGTTTTAGCTATAGGTTTGATTTAAAAAATCTGATTAAAAAGATGTAGGGGAAATGTGGTATTTACAGTTAATTTCTGTTACAGAGCAGATGAATTTCAGGATGACAGTATTTCTCATTAGAGTACTTCTAGTTTTGCTGGTTTACTGCTTTATGAAAGTCCTTCCATTTTTAGTCTGACCCTAACTTACCTGTTTCACTGTTCCTTATGATCCTTTCAATTCAGGATGCAGAATAGAAAACTGCGACTCCTGCTTTAGCAGAGACTTTTGTACCAAATGCAAAACTGGCTTTTACTCGCACAGAGGTCGCTGCTTCCGAGGATGCCCCCCTGGATTTGCAGCTTTGGAAGAGCTTATGGAATGTGTGGGTGAGTCTTCTAGCACAGCAGTGCTGCTAAAGCAGCTCTTTTTCCAGTTGGCAAGTTCAAATATGGCACTGTTTTTGGGCTGATGCTCAGCATTTCCTATGAAGAAATACTGACTACTGAATTGGGTCTGCATTTTTTTATCAATAATAATGATTTTTTTTTTTTTTTCCTCAGACTTTGAAATACTGCATTAATGGGGCGGCACTCTGTTCTGCATGAGAAAGTTCTGTCCTGTCAATTGTAAATCACCTCGTACGAGGATTTACAGTTCAGTACTTACAAGATTTTAGGAAGGCCAGTTTTTTGCATTAGAACTGTAAATCAGTGATGTACTTGTTGGATTCTTGTCCTCATAAAACTACCTGCTCATTTGGCCTTTTACCAAGACCAGAACCCAGGGACAGGGCACATTGCATTCCTGTAACATCTGGGTTTCATATTCACTTTCGGTTTCTCTGCAGCCCCTCCCTTTTCCAAGGGAAGTAAGAAATATAAACCACCAAATAAGGGTGTTTGGCGCTTTTTTTTTGTTTGTTTGTTTGTTTGGGTTTTTTGTTTTTTTTTTTTTTTTCCTAGAACTTACTATATAACTCCGACCAGCATCGGCAGTTCTCACAATATTTCTCAAGTCCCACAATTTGGTGTTGTAACTTGAAGCCTTGGAGTTGTGCCAGAACAGATTGTCTTTCAAGAGTATTCTTTGAATTTCGTGATGGCTAAGACCTGGAAATGTGACCTGTTAAACTTTGCAAATCCTGGTGACAACCAAATAAGATTTACTTATTAAAAAAAATTAATAAACTGTGATTTTACAAGGCTTTTTAAATGTTTGGGACTAACATGATGTCTCTACATCCAGATTGATAGTCAGATGGTTTTATGCTCAAGTTGATGCTGGCTGAAATGATTTTCAGAGATTTTCTTTAAAAGATTTTAATTTTGTTTGGAAGTTTTTGCCTGTTAACAGTAAAACTTTCAAGTGATGCTTTATAATACTGTATTCCAATAAAAAAAAAAAGCCAACAACAAATTAAAACCAAAATAATTGCTTACTCATGTTTTCTTTTGCTTTATCAGAAGGCTGTGAAGTAGGTCAGTGGAGTGAGTGGGGAGCTTGCAGCAGAAATAACAAAACATGTGGATTTAAGTGGGGCCTGGAAACAAGAACAAGACAAATTGTGAAGAAGCCAGCAAAAGACACGATACCATGCCCAACCATTGCAGAATCCAGACGGTGTAAAATGGCCTTGAGGCATTGTCCAGGAGGTACGTGCAAGTGTAATCCATGCCACAAAAATCTGTATGAGCTTTCTTTTAACTGAAATCCTATTTCTAACTTGAAAAGATGTATTTCATCCCAGCCAAAGGGGAAATCCTGTCCCTACTCTGCCAGCTAAGGCTGAAAGGCAGTACTGCGGCAGTCCTAATTTGTGCAGCAAGGCTCAAGGGAAAGGTTCAACATGATTAGTCTCTTAGTATACTGTGAAACTATTTTTCCTGATGTGGTATTGAGGCTTTTTCAAAGAGGTGTCCCATGGAAGAACTGTAATAGGTTGCAGTTTGAGCTTCAGCATGAAAACAATAGTGATGATGGAATAACTGATTGCTTTGCACATGGCAGGAGAGATTATGATTCTAAACCTTTCTGCAAGCAGCACACCCAATGCTGGCGTGATGGGGATTTAAATTCAGTGAAGTTAGTTACACATGGCATTGTTAGCTGGAATGTTACTTGTTCTGAATATTGTAGATCAGGGCTAAACTTTTATAGATGTGATATTTGCAGAACAGTGATATATATGAAGCTTTTCATCAGAAGACCAGCTTATGATAGTTACCAGAGGTAAATTTACTAACAGTTAGAAAATTTGTTGCTTAGACTATATCAAGATCATTGATCAAATCTCTGCAATTTTTCACTAAGTATCAGGAAAGACATTGAATAAAAATTCAGTGTGAAAGGTTTGAAGTACTCTCTCAAAACTACTGTCTCTGGTAAATCCTAAATATTGCAGTCCTCTCCTGTCCATCTATAGTGTGGATTCCCTGCCTGTGTTTTTGGAGATAAAAGCAGATTAGTATGAAACTGCAGGTTTGAACTCCCCACACTGAATGCTGATGCTTCATAAAGCTTCTGTGCCATCATATAAAACACTGGCCAGAGTATAAACTCTCTTCTCTCTCCTTAGAAGCTGCTGTAAGAGAGTGTGTTAGTGGTATTTTAAGTACCTACACTAAGTCATCCCCTGGTCTGGTTATCTCTGCAGGTGAGGAAGCCATAGGATAGGCATTGTCCTGTTTGTAATGCCCACTTCATAATATGTTTTAATTATGGTTATACACATGGCTGGTCTAAGATCCAGCTCCTTTATCATATTTAATTTAGATAGCAAGTTGCTGCATTAGACACTCAAAAGTGTTTTGTTGCTTATTTAATCACTGTGAAGCAGCAGGAGGCAGAGACACTGGTTACAGGGAAACTCAAATCAAGCAGATCCTACCTCCTAAAATACGGTGTTTTTTTAATGTCAGAAATTTTGTAATTGAACTTTTAAACTGAGGAAATAAGAGGAAAATGTAAGATTAACACTACTGCAGGACTGAGGAACTGTAATCCCTGTAAATGCCAGTTGAGAGGCTGTTAATAAATGCTTTCTTCCTAATGTTCTCAGTATATAAACTCACGCAAATGTGTAGGATAAGTATTGGATTATAAATCTAAAAGAGTTGTAGATTGTGATGGATTAAACTGAGCACAGGCAGTAAGGTTATTTTTGGCAGAACAGGGTCAAACAGTACTTTTGTTACATGCTTTTCTACTTCTGTACAGTTTACTGTTGCTATTTATGGTCTACACCACAGAAAAACTTCTGAAACAGATTTTTACAGATTTGCAGAATTGGAGTTAAATTCAGTTTTCCTAAGTACTTTACTTACATATTTGTCAGCGATTGAGATGTTACCCATCTGGGAATGGGTCTGTGGTACAAATCTAGTGATGAAGAAGAATTCCTTATCACTTTCCCAGTATTTGCAGAGTTGTAGAGATACAACCTGGAATGCAAGTGAAAGATGATTTCACTTCCTTCCTACTTAAGCCAGCAACATTAAGAGGATACTCTACTTGATGTCAAATATATTACTGTGTGATATTTTCTTAGTGTCAGTACTAATTGATTTAACTGTTATTGCCATGTGGGAATGTGACATCTGTGTATCTGTTCCTGTTATGTATGTTACCCTGTGGCTTGGGTGTAACATGACTCATACTATGAGAGGGTGGACTTAGAAAAAGATTAGTTTGATTGTTCAGGCCACCTCCTGCCCGTGCTGGTCTCTTCCTGATAAGAATTTTTCTCCTCTTTATCTCAAAAAAAAAAAAAAAAAAAAAAAAAGGAAAAGAGTTTTTGAAAAAGAGTTGTTGTGTTAAAAGCAATGGGGAAATTAGCAGCAGCAGTGTTCTGTGGACTGATGAATCTTGTGGTTTTCCCATAGATTTACTACAAGTATTCTCTTTTTACTTCTTATTTTTACGTGGTCCCCACGTTCACCTCAGTAGTTACTCCTCTTTTATTTTTATCTTTGAGAAACTTGCAAATTGTTCTCATTTTGTATTAAGTAATACATTAATATTACTCTATGCCAAACTCATTAATTCTAGTACAAATCATGATGCTATTTGTGAATGTTTATTTAAGACATGAATCAAGAGAGATGAAAATGTCACATATGTATGCATTAATTTCCTGAGCTCAAAAGGGGGAAGGCAGCAGGACAGGTCATAAGGCTATAGTGAGAAGGACTGCTCACCTTGACTCTGGCATGTAATTGGACGTCATGCTGGCTGACTGGGTTTTTGTGCAGTAATCTTTTATCTAACAGTAAAATGACCCAATCAGATTTTCATTATTAATATTTGGAAATTATGACTAAAAGACTAAAAGATAAAAGAATTTATAATTAAATACAGAAAGCTAATGAATATGCAGACTGTAGTACATAGAATTTACAATATACTGTCGTTTACCTACTGCATCTTTCTGTTGATTTTGCAGTGGCATTGGACCAAATCTGCCCTTTTTTCATATTCATCAGACAGGTCGAAACTGCATTAAGTGTAGCTCCAGTGAGTTCTGGCTGTGCTAGAATATTGGTATCAATAAGCAGACTTTCCTCTTTTGCTGTATTTTGTGACCACCAATTAACCTCAGACCAAGAAGGCTTGGCTTTAGCATGTCTGAAAAAACAACTGGTAATTTTCAGTTACAAAGCGTAGCTCAAAGCTTCTGCAGGAAAAAAGGAAAAACCCTTTCAGCATCAGCAGAGAGCTGACAAGAAGTAAGCTCCACCAAAGACCCTTTGCACAGTGCAGATTGGGAAAGTAATAGTAATAGCAATAGTAATAGAGCAAGTATTTCTGTGAGTATTTTAGTTGATGGCCATTTTGCACATTTAGTGAAGGAGTTAGCAGTTGGAAGCAGGAAGGTGCAAGATGAATGTAGCTTGGAGTATGGCTTAGCACTTAGAGCCTGGCATGCTTATTAGTATGTTTGCTCAGGAAACAAGCTTTTGTCAGCTGCAGAATCTGCTTGTCTGGATTGTCAACATCTGCTTTTGTACAGGGAATGTTGTGCTGAGAGTGTTAAAATGTTTGGGGTTTTGTTTAACTGATTGCATTTAGAAAGGACGGCTGCAGGAGAAAACTAATAGTAAAGGAAATCTAACCCTATGGAAAATGAAATTCCTAATCCTGCTCATTTCAGTAAGAGTGCCTGCAACTAGACTTTAAGTTTAAGTATCTAGGTCTAAATTAGGAGGTATAGGCAAGAAATGTAGCTATATTATCAATATAAAATCCATTTGTGCCAGATCCTTAAAAAAGCACAAAGGTTGTAATCTCTGTTTGGTAATAATAATAGTAATAATAATAATAAAAAAAGAAAAACTGAATCATAAGTAGCTCAGGTTGGAAAGTACTGCAGAAGGTCCTTTAGTCCAGCCTCCTGCTCAAATCAGGTCAGCTGTGAGAAAAACAGGATTAGCAATTACTCTAACAATTCGCAGAGATTAAATATTTTCCCTTTTTTGGACATAGCTCTGTTCCTCTTCATATACTTATTTGTGCATAAAAATACAGTATTTTACCTTTTTTTTTTCTTAGAAGCAAAAACCCACGTACTGATAATTCACGTGTATATATCTTCTTTTTCCTTCCTGTGGAAGGGATAGGCAAATTAGGAATCTATTGATGGAGGAGCGTTTTTCTCCATATTTTTTTTCATATCAAAGCAGTAAAGAAAATTAAGGTGTGTTAATGATGAAATGTGAACAGGTATGTTCTTTACTTAAGGGTGATGAATAACAAATCTATTAGGTCCTCACAACCAAGTATTAAATGTTGATGTTCACACACATACGACAGAGTTACAGCATGATTCATATATTATTTTTCATGTATTTTGTGTGTTATTTGGTCATGTGAATGAGGAAATACTGGATTGAATGAATCTATGAAATCCTGTTCTGAAACTTCCCTTGCACACTAATGTTTCAACTGAATTAGTGTTGCAGCACTTGGGTTTTTTTTGGTTTTTATTCTATTTTATTTTAGTGGGATTTTGGGGTTTTGTTTTGTTTTTTTTTTTTGTTTGTTTGTTTGGTTTGGTTTCATTTTTTTGTGGTTTTTTTTTTTTTTTTTAAAGTGAGAGCAAGAAATACCCCTGAATAAACTCAGAAAAGAAAATGCCTACATATATGAGCTAAGAGATGAAATAGCTGTATTATGCATGTATTTGCTTCATATTCATTAAAATTAGTTCAACTGTAAACTTAGTGTGACTTTAAAAAAAATGCTGGATATTTTATATGACATTATTGGAAGTGATCCATTCTTTAGTCATTTTCTAAAGGGAAAATGCAATCCAAGTAGACTCTTATCTGAAAAGTATTTAGAAATAGTTTTTATAAACCATATAAACTTGTGCATCAGCTTGAGTAGCAGTAAATTTAAAGCCAAGTGCTATCTGTCAAGGACCAACACTCAGGTTTCCTTTGCAGATTTTACAGGAATGATTGCTCTGTTAATAAACTGCTTGATGGTTTAGGTGTCTCTCAAAGCTCTGTGAGCAAAGTATGGCTGTTGACTCATACTCTTGCATTTTCTATGTGTTTGAAGTAAGTAGGTTATATTAAGCAGATAAGCAATTAAGTGCTCTGAAAAATATCAACACTTATTGAAAATAATCTTTTCAATATTTTGGTTCTTT